ATCCTACGTTATCCGTATCCCTGATCACCTACGCGCTACCCAGTTTTTCACACCTCAAAGCTTACACCTTTCGCTGAGACAGGTCAATTTCCTTCAAGGAGATCAATGCTGCCCCCAATCATGGATGGCCACGTGGATGTCGACGACATTCTGGGGCACAGAGATATGCCTGTTCCAAGACCTCTGGGCAGAGGGAGACCTCCAAAACCCAGATGACAATACTGTGTCAGATTCAGGCATCATACGGATCCAAAAGAAGACCGGTGGTTTACCAGAGAGGAACTGATTCACACAGCTCCTCAGGTGGTGGCAGAATATGAGAGGATGCTGAAAGGGAAGGCACCTGCGAAGTAAGCATCTCAGCGGACTTTCGAAGCTAAGGGGGATGGAATGTGAGGATTGAGCCCTCAAGAAGGGGCCTTGCCGTGATGTACATGTTCTGGGCTAAGCCCCCCAGCAAGCCTCGTGCCCGCCCTAAGTGAAGGCGGGCCAGCAAATCAACAAGAGCCCTTTGTTCAAACATTTCACGAAGTGGGGTCCATACAGTTGCAGCACGCCAGTTGGTTGGAGTGCACCGAGTCTCGGATCTCTGCAAATGCGGAAATCCCAGGGCCGCTGAGTTGGTTAGGCCCTGGGCACATAAACGTGACGCCGACAATGCATGCTGGATATAGAGGCCGAAAATGCCAAGGGGAAACCGGTCCACTATCTGAATCTGACCGCATGCCTTGATGAAAGAGGCGCATCTGCATCTCCTGGGCGCCCAACTGCATCGGGCCTGGGTACAGGCACTGGGGCCCAGGCACAGGCTCAAGGGAGGCCGCCCACACGCAACACTGGCATATAGGCAAGCAGGGCAAGTGGGCAAGGATCTTGGCCATTGCGGGCAACGCCGGCACGCTGCGCTGCTGCGCTGCGCTAGGCTGAGGTGCGAGACAGGCAGGCGCTAGGCGGTAGGGTGCTGCCTGTACACAGGGCGCTGGCGGCCATAGCCGGGCTGCCTGAGGGCGCAGGAGAGGTGAGGGCGAAGGTGGTTCTTCGGAGGTGAAGGGCGCTGGGTGAGATAACAAGGGAGAGTGAGGGAGAAGAGAGAGACATACCTGGAAGAGGAGGAAGTCGGCATTGGTGTTGACGTCATCACTCGCTGGTCGTCAAATTGTCTGGTTGCTTTCATACTGTAGTTGTAGTGTTAGGCTGTAGAGTAGGTAGGGCGCCTGGCGCCATTCAAGAGAGAGAGCTACATTGGGTTATGCTGTTGGTRTTGCCCGATTGGGCTTGGACATTGACTCACGATTCTTCTGTATCGTTCTCAAATGGATGGTTACTCGGTTCCATTTTGCTATCTGCTCTTGCTTTGACTACTTGGACTTCAGTGTGATTTTGCAATCTGGATTTCTGTGCTTCGTCCACATTCATGTTCCTTGCAGATATTGTCTGTGATTCCTTGAACAGGGCAGGGGTACCAATGATGTGTGGTAGAATCAACAATTTGGGGAATGTGGGCCTCAGTTCCTTACAGCTGTTTTGTGGTTTAATGACGGAGCCATGCTCAACTCCTGATTATGCAGGGCTTTCGAGCTGCAACAATTTGGGGAACATGGGGCTCAGTTCCTTACAGCTGTTTTGTGGTTTGAAATTTTACTGATGGAGCCATGCTCAACCCCTGATTATGCAGGGCTTTCGAGCTGCAAAGCAATTCTTTTTGTCCAGGTTCAGATGTTTAGCTGCATAGTACATGGTACATACAGTAATTTCCTACACCCTGGGCGGTTAATCCTCTGGGGTCTCCCACGACAATGAATGCTGCCGAGATCTACAGGCCCACATACTACTTTGTGTCACTCAGGGATGCTGGACCCATTTTACAGCAGGTGAAAGCCCTCACCAATACACAGGAACCGCAAACCATGGATGCTACTGGGGGTGTTCGTATCACCCCCGGTAGCACACTGGGTAGCGTTTCAACAAACAAACAAACAAAAGTTTAAAAAAACATAGAAAAAGAAATGGGCGGCGCACTGACAATTTAACAACCTCCATACTGAATCCATGACAGATTTGACAAACAAAAGTTGAAAAAAACACAGAAAAAGAAATGGGTGGCGCACTGACAATTTAACAACCTCCATACTGAATCCATGAGAGATTTGACAATGAGCCGTGGCAAAGGTTATCCAATGTGCTCCTTTCATATCCTGATGGAGTGCTCAAGGGATGTATGCTCTCTCCAGAGCCCTCACCAGCTCAGAGTCCTACCCAGAAAGAGTTTTACCAGCCACACCAGTTGGGGCAAAGTTTATGCGACATGTCCTGCTCCAAATTAATTAATCACCCTGGTTATCAGTCAATCGATCAATCAATTGATCATTTCTGACGCCTGATTGTCGTGCAGCAACCACTGGTTCCTTTCCGAAGACCTGCTCCGATACCACAGTGGACATGCTGGGAAGCCAAGGTTGATCCTATGACAGAGTGGGTGAAGGCACAGCGGAAGAGAATCAAATGCAAGGGGAATAAATGAATGACACACTCAGGGGGGAAATTTGAGCAGAGTCGACTTGCACACGAGAATGGAGGAAGCATACGTAAAAGGTGCCTCCCCGTTCAATCATGCACAGACTAACGGCACCGGGAGAAGAAGAACAAGCAGAGATGACAAGGAGAACTCAAGATATCAGAATCCAGCAAAACAATCCCTCTTCTCAGAAATGTGGGAGGGCAGCACTCTCCAAACGTAATACCATAATATAACCAGATTTCTCTGTCTGCCTCTGAGGTGGGGAGAAGAATCTCTCTCTCTCTCTCTCTCTCTCTCTCTCTCTCTCTCTCTCTCTCTCTCTCTCTCTCTCTCTCCCCGCCCCCCCTCCCTCTCTCACACACTCAATGCAAGGACTGACTGCTACAAGGTGGCATCTTGAGCTGCTAACAGGTGAGTACCAGTTATGGCGCCAGCAGGTGGGCACCCTCTCCTCCCTTGCTGACCTCCAGTCGCCCTAGAGCTCCAGCGCTCAGCCTACCCTCTAATGCCTCCCTGCTTTTAGGCCAGCACTGCACTCTAGCAGCCTGGCAACCTCTAAGTCTAGAAGCAAATGACTGCCCATCATATGCCTAGCACAGTTCCCCTGTGTAGTGCTGGGTCGGCCTGTTACTCACTGGGTCCTCACTCTGGATGGTCAAGGTCTACTGGCGATTGATGGTCCAGAATGGAGGTGAGCCTGTGTACCTGCTGGTCTTGGTCTGAGACCACGCACTGAATCAGCATAGTGCTCTGCACGAGGCCTGATGCCCCACAGGTCCGTACAAACGTATCTTGTCCACAAAGGGGCACTTGTACGGGCACACAGGACAAAATAGCTCCAGCCCTCGTATGAATAAAAGCCTCACTGACATGACCAAAACGATACTCTCAGAAAGCACTACAGTGAACAGGCACAGCAGGACAAACCACATGTCAGGGTCGCTGCAAAAAGAAGAACACATGGATGGTGGCCAAGGTACAGCCTTCCCAGGGGTAAATCCACCAGTATGTTGGGCCCGTATACACATGCCTGCACCCTGCACTAACATACACGGCCCCCCCATCAGGTTCAGCCTACTGGGTTAAGAACACTGGCAGACCCCAACCCCAGAAAGGTTTGGCGGTGCAGGGTCTGGCAAAATCGAGCATTGGGGAAAGAGGCTCGGGCATACTTCAGTGTTGAACCACCACTCGTGCTCCACGACCAAGAAAATTCCCAGTTGGTAACCAGTAGGCTCCAACCAGGCTTGGAAAACAGGCCCGGCGCGGGTTTGGCCCGGATACAAATTGAAAACTGTCTCCCAAATACCGCCCCAAGCTTGGGGTCCAGCAAGAAAAAAAGAGTCAATTCTGAGACTTGTTTTTCTTAGTGATTGTTAGTGATTTCTATAGGGAAGGCCACGAATAGCAGTTTGAAGTTGCCTACTGGCAGTTTCATCTTAAATCTGTGTGCTTCGAGGGGCCCCGAGCTCCTGCTTTTCGATTTGCAGTCTCCCCTTTTCCATGTGAGCATTGCGAAGTGTTTTTTGTGCAGTTCTCGCCAGGCGAGAGGAATACTTTCCCCAATGTACTCTGGATTCTCTTCAACTCCGATTCCACATCTTGTTCGTCTCCCCCTTCTCTCTTTTCCTTGTCCCAAATATGTTGAACCTTCCAGGCTCTTTTCTCTACCTATGAATGCCATCTGTGGTTGCTGGAAGTTAGGGACTATGGGTCTCCAGATGTGTTCGTGATCCTTGGGTTGCAAAAAGGAGCTTGTCTTAGTCCATCTTCTTTCGCTTCCTGATTTTTGTGGGATTCTTGCTCACCATTGCTGTTCAGTGAGGCGCTGTATGGTTTTGGTGGGGGAGCAGTTATTCTTCTTCAGAAGTTTGAGGGGCTTCTCTTCCTCCCTGTGTTTCGTGGTCCATTTTCTGCCATTAACGAGCATAGGCCTTTGGGGTTTCTGACCAGGGAGCATTGGCAAGTCAGTCCATGCCGAGTGCTGTTTCGAGAGTACCTGTACTGTCCATTATACATGCAGGACCATTTACTCTTGTCAATCATCTCCAGGCCTCCTCCCACTGGCTCTCTTATGATGTACTCCCACGTTACTTTCGGGATACAGCCAATTTCTTTTAGTTCTTCCTTCCATAGATACATTTTGGCTCTGGCTTTTAGCTACTTCAGGTGCTCATCTGGGGGTGACCATATGGATGGTAGGTGCCCAAGGGTGGAGAAGATTGATGTGTTGTTCTTCCCCTCAGGGCCCCATGGCATTCCGCAAACACGATGTGTGTGCACTACATTTCTGCAATTGTGTGTATTGTAGTGCACACACAATCACAATCAGATTGACATGTGCACTTTTGAGTAGGTGCCCACACATGCACATATCGGCATTTGCATGTCATTCCATGAGAAAGTGAATGTGTGCATACATGCCTGTCCGAGAAAGGAAGAGGAAATGACAGAGAGAACATGACAGAGTGAAACAACAGACCTTGGCCCCTACTTCTTGCTTGACTTTTTCAATGACTTGGGGATTCAATGCAGAGCCACTGTTCTCATTGGAATTGCCAAGTGAAACACGGAGACGGAGTACAGAGTTCGCCGCCCGTGCATGCCTTCCCTGGAGAGGCAACCAAAGATCATGCCGCTCCTCTGGAGTTCGGATTAGAAAATTGACCTCTCCACGGCCAAGCAGTAAAGGTTCTGCAAATGGCCCATCATAGTTGAACACTTCCACCGACATCACACTCGGTGCATCTGCCATGGCATCAAACTCCAGTACCTCTGCACCCATCATGGAAGTTCCAGGGCAAAACAAACGTGAAGACGCATTAATACCAAACATGACAGCAATCAACATCCAAAGAATCTTGTTTACACAATTGAGTTCAGACTCCAGAGGAAGTCACAATACCATTACTCCAAAATAGATTTAATAGCCAGCCACCTTGGGCGCATCTGTCACCAGCAGCACTCAAAGTCAGCACAGATCAAGCATAAAGGCAAATAGAAATCATCAGCACCAATCAAAGTGAAAACAGAGCAAGCATAAAACTCAAAGTACGAACAGAAGAGAGGCAACATATGGAATCTAGAATACCTTTTTTTTTTTTTTTTTTTTTTTTTTTTGGTCCTGACTCCTTCCATTCTGGGGAGCGACAGTCCGGTTCCTATTCCACCGGAAAGTCAAGGCATGATACATCACAGCAACCAACTCACGCTTCCTCCCGTCTGGCCAGAGGACCCCTGAACAGCATTGATTGCTCCACGTTGGGTGGAGGATTGACTGTCAGCTTGCCCAGAGACGCTCTTCCTTCTCAGATCTACTGTTGCAGTTCTGTCAGATTTATCTGTTATACCTAGAAAGAGCTCCTCCCGTGCTGTTGCCCACTCATGCTGTCCCCCATCCCCACTCATGCTGTGATTTCCTTAGATCCAGCTACTCCCCCATCCTCAAGTTCTGTTGAAAAACCCTAAACCCTAAACCCTACCCTTGTTTGGATGCTTTAAATAATAACTTTTCCCCCTTGCTTCCGCCTTCCAGTGATGTGTCGACCTGATACTGCCGTCAGTTCTCTATGAGACCCTCCCCACTCTGCACCTTCTTTGATCCCGGCCCTCCTTCCCCTTTTTTCTTTTTCGATCTTCAATCGGCGGCACCTCCCGTTGGCTCGGACGGTTCTTACTGATGAACGCAGTTTCCTTTCCACAAGCGGCCCGTGTTAAATTGTGGCGAATGGCTGAGGTGGAATCTAGAATACTATGGAAACCACTATTCGTCATAAGGAGAGGTCCAGTTCACAGGCGGGTATTGCAAATGAACCGCCTGGATAACGAGCTTATCACTGAAAATTCGGATCACCCCGCGATCTGGGCAGCTCGCCTGAACAGACAGCCTGGATAGGGGGTCGATCTGCATTTTGGGTGATTGGCCTGCAATCTAGGCCTTCCACCATGCAACGTCCCATACCGCCGCCAGATGCGGGATGTCACCACCGGAAGGCTGCAGCCCAACAAAGTGGATGGGCGGCAGTGGGCAGCAAGTTGACGGTGAATAGCAAATGCCAACAAATTTGCTGCCCGTCGCTGCGTGTCATCGCTGGTTGCTGCCCGACACCTTTCCCATTGCTCTGTCCATGCCACCGGTCGCCCATTGCTGCTATTTGTCCACACTGTTCATCGCCACTGCCAATCCGTGTGGCCTGCTGTCACCACTGCCCTTCCATGCTGCCCACCACCCGTTGCAGATGTCTACCCTAACCTCCTTCTCGCTGCTTCCACCCGGCCTCTTCCTCCCCGCCTGTGCATAACCTCCTTCTCCCTCCCTCCTCGGACCTTCTCCCTCCGCCCGCCCGAGCTCTCCTCCCTACCTCCGTCTGACCTCCCTCTGCCCAACCTCTTCCTCCCGGCCTATGCCCAACCTCTTCCTCCCTCCCTCTGCCTCCCTGCCTATGCCCAACCTCTCTCCTCCCTCCCTCTGCCCAACCTCTTCCTCCCTGCCTATGCCTTACCTCTCCTGCTTGCTTTTTCCCGACCTTCCCTTCCCTCCTCTATTTGACCTCCTCCCTCCCTCTGCCTGTCCTCCTCCCTCCCTCCACCTGACCGCCCTCTTTCAGCTAGACCTCCTTCTCGCTGCCTCCTCCTGACTTCCTCCCTTCGCCCGACCTCTGCGCAATCTACCTCCGTTCTCCCTCCCTCCTCCCTCCATACCCGCGAGATCCAGTCGAATGATGTTTTTACTGGAAGTCAGAGGACCCGTAGTACCTACCTAACTCGAAAGAGACCTGGTAACAGGAAAGCACTGGCTACTTCGCCAGTAGGGAAGGGGTCTAGGTATCTGCTTAGCCTAAGCAGGTTTTACTCGGTCTGCGTATCTGCTTAGCCTAAGCAGGTTTTACTCTACACAGCCTGAAGGAACAACTCCCTTGGATCCCGGAGTGGATGTGACCGAAAATGTACGGTATGGAGTTGACTCTTTACTAGGCCTTTGGATTCACAGTTACAAAAAAACCGTTCGGGTTTACTCGAAACATCGGAATCTGGATAATCGCATATAAATTATCACAAAAGGTGACTCCGGGCCCCGATCAAACAACTATTGACAGTACCTCGCTTGAAAAGCTTTTGAAGCTTCGACACGTGATAGTCAAAGGAGAATTTGAATGGGGAGCAACTCGTATTCCGCCGAAACCTGGCAAGAACGAAAAGCGTCCACTGGGAGTATCATGCTTCCAGGACAGGATCGTACAAGAAGTTCATGGAATGATCTTAGAACCTATTTATGAACCCCGCTTTTCCACTTATTCACATGGCTTCAGACCGGGACGTAGTGCTCACACGGCCCTTAATGTTATAATRGGTACCTTTCATGGTGCGCAATGGTATATTGAAGGATCCCTGGAGGCCGAAGGCCCTGGAGCCGTAAATCATGGAACTCTGTATAAGATCATCCGGCGAACAATCCGAGATAAACGGATTCTCAAACTCATCCGCTCTGGACTCATCCCATCTCCGCCGACCTCTTCCTGACTTCTGCCCAACCTCCTCACTATTTCTGCCCGAGTTTCACCCAACCGCCCGGCATTTTCCCAACTTCCGCCCGGCCTCCTCCCTCTGCTCGACCTCCTCCCGCCATTGCCCTCCACACACTCCTCTGCCACTGCATGCCGCCCACTCTTGTCCACTCTACAGAGACAGAGATAGAGGGAGGGAGGGGGGAGGAGAGATGGAAGCGGTGGAATGAAGATGGGAACAGAGGGATAGGGGCAATGGGTGGGGCGGCGAGCAGCAAGGGTGAGGAGGGAAAAATTCAAAAATGTTGTCATCAGCATCAACCTAAGTGAGATTGGGTGCATGAGCACAATACAGCCAAAGGGGCAGGCAGAGGAACTGGAGAGAGGAGTGAAATGGCGAGGTAGAGGGTCAGGGGGCAGTAGGGGGAGGAGGGGAGTCCTGAGCAGCAGGACAGAGATTGGAAGAGGGGGATGGGGGCGGTGGATAGGGCAGGCAAACGGCAAGCAGCAAGGAGGAAAAAATGCCATCATCAGCATTAAGTGAAAATGCACTCATAAGTTGAAGCCAGAGTGACAGGTAAAAAGGAGTGAGATGGTGAGGGAGAGGATCTGGGACTGTGAAGGGAGCGTAGGGATGTGCAAGGGGAGGAGTGATGAGAGCGAGAGACAGGTAAGAGAGGTTGGAGATACATATAAAGAAAGACTGGGGGCGAGGGGCAAGAGAGAGGGCTCACAGGGGGAATGACAGTGAGGGGGAGAAAACAGATTTCAATTTTCTTTCCTTCGCTTTTTTCAAGACTAACTTTGTTTGTATCGTTTCAATTTTGATGATGTCTCGAAGGACAACGACCCTACGTTTTCCATACACACAAACACCTGTCTCTTATACACATCTAGATGTGTATAAGAGACAGGGTCTAGTTTGCTCTCACTACACGCA